ATGTTATCGAGCCGTTTACATATATTTGTAATTTATCATTTTCAAAAGGAATATTTCCAGACAATATGAAAGTAGCAAAGGTAGTTCCTCTCTTTAAAAATGGTGATAAATGTGTGTTCAATAATTATAGACCAATATCCTTATTACCACAGTTCTCAAAAATTCTAGAAAAACTATTTGTGACCAGATTAGATAAATTTATTACTAAACAAAACATTCTAAGTAGCAGTCAGTATGGGTTTAGAGAAAAAATCTCTACATCAATGGCTCTCATGGAAATAATAGAACAAATAACTACTGCTGTCGATCAAAAACAGTATTGTGTTAGTATTTTTGTAGATTTTTTACAAAGCATTCAATACTCTTGACCACTATTCTCCTTGAAAAATTAAATAAATATGGTATAAGAGGACCAACATTACACTGGGTATCTAGCTATTTAAAAGATAGGAAACAGTTTGTACAAATAAATGGTGTAAGATCTGACCTGTGCAATATCACTTGTGGAGTTCCTCAAGGCTCTGTACTTGGACCAAAGTTATTTATTTTATATGTGAATGACTTAGTGAATGTATCAGGACTCCTCAAATGTGTCCTTTTTGCAGATGACACCACATTTTTTTGTTTGGGTAAAGATGTAAAACAGATGTTGGAATTGATGAAGACAGAATTTGATAAAATACAAACGATTTAAAATTAATAAATTATCATTAAATTTTGATAAAACTAAATACATGATATTTAGTAACAAAAAAGAGAACTGTTGATGATCCATTTAAAATTGAGGGTGTTGAGATTTGTAGAATTAATGAGATGAAATTTTTGGGTGTAATCATTGATGAACAGCTAACATGGAAAAATCACATCAATTCTGTAAGAACAAAAATAGCTAAATCTATTGCAGTACTATACAAAGTCAGGGAATTATTAAATGATAAAGCTCTGTACATGTTGTATAACACAATTATTGTTCCACATTTAATCTATTGCATTGATGTTTGGGGGAAAGCGTGTAAAACATTTACAAAACCTATTTTTATTTTACAGAAAAGAGCTGTAAGAATTATCACCAGAAAGCATTACAGTCACCCATCAAGCACATTATTTTATCAACTGAAGTTATTGAAGTTCCATGATTTGGTAGATTACAGTATTTTATCAGTTATGTATAGGGCTCAGAATAACACATTACCATTAAATATCCAAAGAAATTTTGTTAAAAGACAAAGTTGTTATAATCTTAAGGGGATAGAGATATTTGTCAAACCAAAATTCAGAACTAGTCTGAAGGGAAGGTCTACCTCAATCCAAGGAATTGGATTGTGGAATGGTCTAGAGAGTGATGTGAAAAATGTCAAGTCAATGTGTACATTTAAGAAAAAGATCAAAGCTGAATTGTTAAAAAAGTATATATGAAGCAGCTTAGTGTGTGTTTTGTATTAGAATTAGAAAAATTAGAAAAATTAGAAAGAGTTATTCATTTTGTTCTGTTACTTGAAAATTATTATGATTGAACTAATTGTTTGAAAACGGGGCAGATATAATAAGATTTGTTCTTCTTTCTGCCTTTCATTTTAAATCTTTTGTATCTTTTTATATTATGGAATTGTTTTGTATTTTTTTTAAATGAATAAACTTTATACCATACCAACTTTATACCATACCATACCTCATTTCCTTAAATAAATTGTTAAAATTGAATATTTTTTAATATGTGAATATTAATTTTTGTATTGAACATTTTTTTAATTAAAATTGAATAGTTTTCATTTTATACTATTTCTATCTTAACATGTGATTCTTGATCTGCTATTGTGCATCTGTTCCTACCAAACCCAGCCATTCAAACCAGATGGCCACTTGTTCTGATCCTGGTTCTGCTAAAGGTTTCTTCCTCATGAGGGTGTTTTTCCTTTCCACTGTCATCTTCATGTTTGCTCAAGCAGTTTAATTTTTTAATTACAAAAAAAAGAAAATTTGTTTTTAATTTCACTTCAACACTTGCTCTTGTCCTCCTCTCCCTCTCTGCTTTGCTTTTGCTCAATCCTGTCTGTGAAACTACTTAGAGCCTCTCTTCTACAAATCTTTCAAATCATAATTTATGGATTTGGATTTGGTCAGTTGGTCGCTCGATGCAATTGATAAATTTTTTTCGAAGAGAAGACAGGTTTTAGGTGAGCCGATTTGCCCTATTGGCACGCACACAGCTGGATATCTCATCGACATGGAAGACTTGATGATGTGTCTATCTCTGCTGTCATTTGTGGATTTTAAGGATGCATATTTAATTAGATTTATGATTGATTATGGTTTCCTGCCTTTTGGATTTGGCTGGTTCCTGTTTTATCTACAATCAAGGAAGTCATCGGCAGCAAATTTGGACCCGATCAGGCTGCTTGCCTTACGATGGCTTGACTCGTGCGTTGAGCACCCAGACTCAAATGCTTTTGGCAGGATGGATCAGATCTCGGGGATTCTCCTCGGGTACGGTCCTTTGTTGTGGCCATTTAATTTGGATGTTTCGGAACTGAGTGGACCCAACACAGACTCAAGGTTTATGTCATTAAAGTTCTGCCTGTCCCCAAAACAATCGTGTTTATCTGAATTCGGCTCCTTGACTGGCCTTGACAGGCCATCTCATCTTAATTCGCCTGAAAGTTTTGTAAACCTGATGCTCTACCCCTCCCCTCCTACCGAGGAATTCCATGGACTAATCAGAGGGGCCCAGCTGAAGAAACATTCTGTCATCATTTCAAGACTCTGGATTTGTCCTTGGTCATCCTCGACACCCCCCAAGTGTGTATGGATCTCTCCAGAGGGAACTATTTGAACTGAGCAATTTTATCTGAACTCTGCAGTGCCTCTGTGTGCTGTCTCTGGACTGCTCACCATCCTTGAGTCTCCCCCCCCCCAACCCCCCATCCACCCTGTGGAATATCGGCGTCTTTATGTGCTAGTGTGTGAGATTTTATTTTTATCGTTGCGCTGTTAACCTTCAACCAAAGATTGAGTGTGTTAGGAATTTTTTTTGTCTCCAAACCCTATGTGTCATTTTTCGCCACTTTTTATTGTGCGTCCAAACAGGTCTCGCTTGTAAATGAGTCTTCGAGACTCAGTGTGACTTATCTATAAAGATTGAAAAAAGAAGAAAGGAAAAAAAGATGAGAGTTCTGTGATGTAGTTAAAATCAAAGCAATCTGCTCCTCAGATAAATAGTGTTAACATTTTTTTTTTATAAATATGAATCTTTCTGTTCATTGCCCTGAGATGACTTCTGTTGTGAATTGGTGCTATATAAATAAACTGAATTTAATTAATATCTGTTGGCTTTGGTGGCCATCTTAAGCTGGGTTGACTTTACATATTAAACAGTTGTAGATGTACAATGATTGATTACTTTTTGCAAGTTTTAGTAAAATGTTTCCAGTGGTTTATGAGGTATTTTGCTAACAGACAGACACATCAACACATGCTTAGACAACAACATGAATAGTTGATGTCTGCCTTTTAGTGTTGGGCAAAACGAAGTTATAAATGTCAGTGGAAACAGAGTAAAATAAGCTGCAGGAACATATTTTATTCCAGATGTGGTCTCTGTGGGAGAACATTTAAATTATTTCATGCTTACCATTGTGCTAAGATTAATTTGTAAATATTAAAATTCTTCTTTTATCTTTTCCTTGTTTAATAACTTATGGATGCAACGCAAGGATTCTAGGATTCAAGGATTCAAGGTTCTTTATTTGTTATTCCACCACATGTGGTACATGTGATAGAACGAAACTATGTACACAAGGTCCCAGTTACATCCAACAAAATTATTAAAATGTAAAAGAAAAACAGTAATAAGATCTAAGAGATGAACTAAGAAAAATGTTAATACTGGTTTATACTCAGAATATTAAAATAATAAAGATAAAGAATAAAATATTTTTGTTTGAGTAGGACCTCCTAAAGTTAACTAGAAAGACTTTATATTAACTGAAATGTCAATGCCATTATTCCATCCTTCTGAATGGATGAAATGTAAATGGTGTGTGCTGAAATTTGTTATAGAAGCTGAATCTGGGTTTGTAAAACTAGATACACATTTTCAGCTAAAACAAGAAGGACAGCAGCTAAAAGCAAAAATGAGCAAAATCACAGTCAATAGCTAAGAACAAAACTTGGAAAAAAAACAAAAAAAACTGCTCCACCTGGGTGTATCCCAGGTGTGATGGGTTATATGCAGAGAACCAGTTTTGTCATTGTATGGGAACATACAATGATGACAACAAATAGCACTTTATTTATTATTTATTTATTTAAAAGTAGCAAAACTGCAACTAACAGCTAAAATCATCCAGACTGTAGCTAGAAACTAAAAGTAGCATTGAAATAAATAAAAAAATACTGTATGAAATACGCTGAAGCTGATTTCAAAGAGAACAATGTTTGTGAAAGAGTTGGAGATGTTTAGGGTACAAAGTACAAAGAGGGCGGCTGTGACTGAGTGGTTAGAGCAGTCATCCTCCAATGCGAGAGTTGGGGGTTCGAATTCACCAGCAGTCACATGTCGAAGTGTCCCTGGGCAAGACACTGAACCCCTCATAGCCTCTGATGTGTGTCCCATCAGTGTATGAATGTGATCTAAAGCACTGATTAGTCTCATTAGAATGATTTGTTCAATTATCTTTGTAGAGATCTAGTAGAGTGCTGTATGAATGGGTAAATGAGGACACAGATTGTAGTGTGAAGCGCTTTGAGTATCTTGAAATAAGATAGAAAGGCGCTATATAAGTACAGTCTATTTACCATTTACCAAAGTACATTTTATTGTAAATAAGGTTAAATATTTTATGACGTATAAAAGGTTGCACTATACCTGATAGAACTGAACATTTTCAGAAATGAATAATGAAAACAGCCTAAAGTATGAAGAAGTACAAACTCTAAACAGGAAAATTATTTTATGATTTGTTGCTCATCCATGAAATAATCATTTTTTTTCTGTGTTGCAGATGCTGTCAGTCACCAGCAGAGCAGAAAGGTGTGAGCAGTTTGTAGCGTACTCCTGCCGAATGTCACGTCTGCTCAGTGGTCCTGGTGAGTCCTGTTTCATCACCCACAAAAACTTAAGCTCCTTTAAGAACCATCTAAATGACATTCAAATGTCTGGAAGCTCACGACTTGGTAAAACTTAATTGTGGGTCACACTCAAACAGTTTGATCTCACCAAGTTCAGAACAGAGACTCGTCACACCAGACCTCCTAAAGTTTTTTTTTTTTTGTCTTTTCCTTTTGCATTTCTGCTTCTTCTGAATTCTGAGTCATTTCAGTTTTATTGTTCGTCATCCCTCAGGGGATTGGACTGCAAGAGGTCAGCTGATACTGACAGTGTTCACTACTTATTATATCTTGCAAAAATATCTGAAGCTCTCGACCTTGACTTCTCTAAGTGGCTTCAAATATCTGTTAAGTTCATGGCAAAAACCAATGCAGACATGTTCCTGTTTCTAGTTTTCTACACCGCCTTACAATCTAGCTGAGGTGTTTTTTTTTTCCTTTCTTTTCGCTGCTTTTCCTTTTGACTATCCTTTTGGTTGCTATTTTGTTTTGATTTGTTAAAAAAAATAAAAAAAATGTATGCCTCCTTTTTGACTGTCTATTGTTGTCGTTGTAATTCACTATTGTCATCACTCTGTTAAGAAATCAGGTCTTGTAAATGAGTCCCCGAGGCTCGATGGAATTAACCTGTCTAAATAAATGTTGAATGAATGAAAACTACTTGTTTATATTGTGGACCTCAGGATGGCTTTGTTTAATTTATCAGATAGTAATAACAAATTATTGACAAATTTAAAATAAATAAAACTTATGGTTAAATAACATAAAAAAAAGAAAATCAGAGACAAAGTAAAAAAAAATAGATGTGGTAAAACAGGTTCAACACAAGCAGATAACTAAGACTAGAACTAAAACTGGATACAAAATAAGAGGTAGGAAATATTTCACTGGGTGATAATTTAGAGTTAAGCCCCCAGTATACTCCCGCATACGTCCATACGCGGAGGTACGCACGTACGTACGCGGAGGTACGAGCGTAACCCCAGGGCATGTCCGTGCAAAGCTCAATTTTTACGAACACGTACGTGTACATGGTGTCGCACAATAAACTACTCAGCGACAGACGGTTTCGTATGCGACACCAATGTATTAAATTCCCCTTTTTCATCCCTTATCTGGCCTTTTGTTTTGTTTTTTGCCAAGAGGCAAGTGATCTCTTCCTCCTCCGTTGATGCCATGACTGAAATGGTGATGGTGAGAAATGAAGGAATTTGTCACGAGCAAATTAAACTCAGGTCCAGCATGGCTGTGGGAGAGTCTGGAGATTTCCTGGTGGGCTGGTCTGATGTGTGGGCTGCAGAGCCAGCGCTCCCTGTTTTTTTATTTTTTAGATCTTTTTATTAACAACATATAAAAACACAGAACACTGCTGCGGCTGAGACTGCCAGCGCTCGTTTTTTTTTTTTTTTTCTGACCTGTCAATCAATCCAGTAGGTGTGTCAGCAAATGACCAATCAGCGAACTCTATTTGTCCCAAGGTAAACGCCCCTTGTCTATGAAGCTGCTCTGCAGCTGCTCAGGTTGTACGCTCAAGTATGAAGTCTGAACCCACTGCGTACAGTACACGCGTACATACGCATGAACGGACGTACGTGGGAGTATACTGGGGGCTTTAATTATTAACTGAGTGGTGGTGTCGCAGAGTTTACAGAACATGGGCCTGGAATCAGACTGGTTCTCCTCAGACTGACAACATCAAAATGTGGGTGGGAAAGGTGAAGCACCCACACCTGCCTCCACCCTCATTTGTCCCACTCTGGGCCCTTGAGCAAGGTCCTTGACCCCCACCATCTGCTCCCCCGGGCGCCCTAGATGGCAGCTCTCTGCTCCACACAGAGGGCTGTGGTAGCTCGGTGGTCTGTGGCCGAGTCAGGAAGGACATCCGGCGTAAAAACAATTGCCAAGTCTTCGTGTGAGTTACTCACTGTGGTGACCCCTGAAGAAGGGAGCAGCCGAAAGAAGAAGAAAAAAAATTATCTCCTGCCAAAAAAGGCTGCAGCTGGCTCTTGAATCTGTGATCTTCCTGCTATGAGGTGGCCGCTCTAACCACTGCCTCTGTACTGCCTGAGTGATGTAGATGGGCTAAAAGAAATCAAAAGATACAATTTTCAGCTTAGTGTAGCCGACTCACAGCCCTGTCACACTAAAATGTTTTAGAGAACTTATGTCGATGTATGTAAGTTGTGTCCAACATGCAGACATACGCTGAAAATGGAATAAAATATCAACTGGAAGCTTTTTTTTTTACATATACATACTGTATTGCTAACAAGATGAATGAATATCTAACCTGAGTAACTTATCCATAACTAGTCCTGAGCAGATACGTTATGTGTACTATTCAAAAAACGTTCAATACAAAAACAACTAGATTTTATTTGTAACAGAATTCTGTTCTGTTACAAATAAAGTCCAGTTGTTTTTGTATTGAACGTTTTTTGAATTTATCATGTCCTGAATGACTGAGAATCTTCAAAAGCATACGTTATGTGTATTATTGGTACTAGTGCGCTTGGTGCTATTTTCCGGAAACACAACATGCCCTTCCACTTCTACGCCGATGACTGTCAAATTTACTTACCCCTAAGACACAATGGCACATGCTCTATTCAACCTCTGCTCGACTGCCTGGCTGACATCAGGGACTGGATGGCTTTAAACTTCTTAAGTTTCAATGAAAAGAAGTCTGAAGTCATGTTGTTCCCTCCCAATGACACAATCACAAACCACTGCATAGACCTCTCCGCTCTAACCCTGTCAGAAAAACAAAGAGTCACTAATCTGGGAGTGATAATGGACCCTTCCCTGAAACTTAACAATCATGTGATTGTTAAATCATGATTTTCCAACTGAGGCGGCTGTTTAAACTGAAGCCCATATTGTCCAAAAATAACCTGGAGACAGTAATACATGCATTCATTACATCTAGGCTTGATTACTGCAATTCACTCCTGTTTGGTATCAGTCAGACCTCCATAGCACGACTACAACTTGTCCAGAATGCAGCAGCCCGATTTTTAACCAGTACAGGCAAAAGAGAGCACATCACACCAGTTTTGGCCTCACTGCACTGGTTACCGGTTCACTTTCGAATCCAGTTCAAAATACTCATGTATGTCTACAAATTACTGAACAGTTTCTCCCCCCCATCTCTCTGATCTGCTACAACCGTATGTCCCACCACGTTCCCTGAGGTCAGCGGACCAGTTGCTCCTCACAGTTCCAGGAACTCATCTTAAGTGCAGAGGTGACAGGGCCTTCTCTGTAGCAGGACCAAGACTTTGGAACGAGTTACCTCTGCTTGTCAGACAGGCCCCCTCCCTCTCGGTTTTCAAGTCCCGTTTAAAAACCCACTACTATTCAATAGCATTCAACGCCAGATGATCTGTGTTTTGAACCTGTATGCTCCACACTGGTTAGTCGTCATTATCTGTATCGTTTTTATGTCTATATTCTGATTTACTTAATTTTGTATATTGCTTTGTGTGTTACCTGCTGTTCTGTCTGTACAGCACTTTGGTTGGCCTTGTCGCTGTTTTAAGTGCTCTGTAAATAAAATGGTATGGTATGGTATGGTATGGTATGGTACTAGCTCATGAGAGCAGAGCTTATGGCCCAATTTTCAATAGGAATCTTTTTTTAATGTCTAGAGGAACATGCACACCAAAATGGAAAAAAGCACGTTGCCTACTTTTCAAGTTATACATCTGTGCCCATCTATGGTGTCAGCCATTTTGGATTTTGATGTGGTAACCCAATGTTCTGAAAGAACCTTTCTTACACCTAGATGTAGCCAAACACCAAAATGGAAGTCAGTACCTCACTTGTTTTTTAAGTTATGCTTTCAACAAGTACATACATTAATGATAGCAGACATTTTGGATTTTGACCTGGCACCCCAACATTGGAAAGGAATGGAGGCTGTTTCCAATTCTTTCTCTTCGCTTGGGAGAAGTGACCATCAGCCAAGTGTTGTGCACTCTGACCCAGGGGGTGTTAAATTAGGTCAAGCTATATTTCTGTAGTGCATTTGTGTTTTAAGAGTGGATTTAAATAATTCAAGAGTCTGGATGTATTTGATGTGGGGTGGAGATGATTAGAAGTTGTTGGACTTCAGACCTTAGTGCTCTGGCTGGAGTATGAAGCTGCAGGAGTTCTGATGGGTCTAACCCTCAGAGAGTCTTAGAACTGTTTAGACAACAAACACAACAGCATTCCAGTTGTCCTAGCATGACAAAAGTAAAACGGCAACAAAACACATGTCCACCAAACATTGAGTCCAGGGGCGACACAAATTAAGACTAATGCAAATAGAAAGTTCAACATTTCTGTCAAAGTTTATAGGAATTTGAGCAAATGTAGTTACTAAATGTAGTTACTTAAAAGCTGGATGTGTAAAAATGAAAGTAAACTGTAAAAAATTGTTGGTTTGACTCCTAGATGGTGCTCCATTTACCTGGTGGGTGGGACGAGACAACAAGAGGCACTGGTACTGGGGGGGTTCAGGACCTGGGGTACAGAAATGTGCCTGTGGGATTGAAAACAATTGTACAGACCCCAAACACTTCTGCAACTGTGACGCTGACCTGCGAACCTGGTGAGTGCAGCCACTTTACATCCACCAACATATATGCAGGATTGTTTATGTACTGTATTGATTGATGTGTTCCTGATCCATACAGAAAAGTTCTTTATGATTTAATGTGACCAAATAAAACCTACGACAATCCCAAGTAAGTCTGATGTTTTTGTGTGCTCGAAATCCAACAACAAGGCATCTTCTGTTCAAGAAGTAAAACTTTATCCATTCATCCATCCTCCATCCATCATCCATTTTCTTCCACTTATTTCTAGTTGAATAACGGTGGCAGCAGCTTAAGCAGGAATGCCCAGACATCATTTCTCATAGCCACCTTTTCCAGCTTTTCTGGGGTGGGACCCCAAGGCAAGCCGAGAGACGTAGTCTCTCCAGCGTATTCTGGGTCTTCCCTGAGGTCTCCTCTCAGTTGGACATGCCTGAAGCACCTCCCTAGGGAAGCATCCTTACCAGATGCCCAAACCACCTCAACTGGCTCCTCTCGATGTGGAGGAGCAGCAGTTCTACTCTGAGTCTCTCCCAGATACCTGAACTTACCCTGTCTCTAAAGGAGAGTCCAGCTACCCTGTGGAGGAAACTCATTTCAACTGCCTTTATCTGCAATCTCATTCTTTTGGTCGCTACCCAGAGTTTGTGACCATAGGTGAGGGTAGAAGTGTAGACCGACGGGTAAACCGAGAGCTTTGCCTTACAGCTCAGCTCCCTCTTCACCACAACAGACCAGCACAGACTCTGCAATACTGCAGGCGCTATACCAATCCATCTTGTCAATCTCATGCTCTATTCGTCCCTCACTCATGAACAAAACCCCAAGATTCTTGAACTCCTTCACTTGAGGCAAAACCTCACCCTTGACCTGAAGAGAGAAATTCAACTTTTTCCGGCTGAGGACCATGGCCTCAGATTTGCAAGTGATGATTCTCATTCCAGCTGCTTTACACTTGGCTGCAAACCACTCCAGTGAGAGCTGAAGATCACGGCATGATGACTCCAACAGGCCCACATTAACCGCAAATAGCAGAGAAGAAATCCTGTGAGGCCACGGAAATGGACTCTCTCCATCCCCTGGCTGCACCAAGAAATTCTGTCTATAAATAGGTATGGACATAATCTTGACAACAGGCAGCCCTGGTGGAGTTCAACTCCCACCTTGAAAGGGTCCAACTTACTATCAGCAATGCGAACCAAACTCTTGCACTGCTTGAATAGGGACCAAACAGCCCGTAGAAGGGCCCCCAATCCCATACTCATGGAGCATCTCCCACAGTGTACCCCAAGGAACACAGTCAAACATCTTATCCAAGTCCACAAAACACATCTAGACTGGATGGGCAAACTCCCATGACCCCTCAAGAACCCTGGTGAGGGTAATCAGTGTTCCACAACCAGGACGGAACCCGCATTGTTCCTCCTGAATCTGAGGTTTGACCAACAATTGGACTCACTTCTCCAGTACCTCTGAATAGACCTTACCAGGGAGGCTAAGGAGAGGGATGCTCCTGTAATTGGAGCACACCCTCCGGTCTCCCTTTTTGAAGAGGGGGAACCACCACTCCAATCTGCCAATCCAGTGGCACTGCCCCCGATGTCCACTGATGTTGCAAAGGTGTGCCAACCAAGACAGCCCCACAACATCCAGAGCCTTAAGGAAATCGTGGTGAATCTCATCCTTCCCCAAAGTCCTGCCACTGCAGAGCTTTTTAATTGCCTCGGCGACCTCAGCCACGGTTATGGACAGACCGATCCTGAAGTCCCCAGACTCTGCTTCCTCCATGGAAGATGTGTCGGTGGGATTGAGAAGGTCCGAGTAGTATTCCTTCCACCTCCCGATGACATCAATGGTTGAGGTCAGCAGCACCCCACCTTCACTGAACAGTTCTAGTAAAACACCGCTTTCCCTTCTTCAGCCACCTGATAATTTGCCAGAATCTCCTCGGAGCCGACCAATAGTCTGTCTAAGGCCTTACTGAACTGAACTTTAGTTAACGTTTTTCTTAGTTCATATCAGATCTGGGCAACACGATGGCACAACTGGTAGAGCTGCTGCTTCTCAGCGAGCAGGCCCTTGGTTCAAACCTTGGTCCAGGGGCCTTCTGGGCGGAGTTTGCATGTTCTCTCTGTGCATGCGTGGGTTTTCTCCGGGTACTCCAGTTTCCTCCCACAGACCAAAAACATGCATGTTAGGCTGATTGGTAACTCTAAATTTTCCCTAGGTGTGAGTGAGAGAGTGAATGGTTGTTTGTTTCATTTGTCTCTATGTGGCCCTGTGATGGACTTGCAACCCGTCCAGGATGTACCCCGCCCCTCGCACAGTGATTGCGGGACATGGGCAGCAGCGACCCCCGTGACCCAAAATGGAATAAGCGGGTAAAGATAATGGATGGCATATCAGATCTTATTACTGTTTTTATTTTACATTTTAATTATATTGTTGAATGTAACTGGGACCCTGTATACACATTTTTCATCCACCACATGTACCACATGTGGTGTGTATGACAAATAAAGAACCTTGAATCCTTGAATTCCTCCCACATCTGAGCTTTTGCCTCAGCAACAGCCAAGGCTGAAGACCACTTGGCCCTTCAGTACTCTTCAGCTGCCTCTGGAGTTCCACCAACCAACAAGGATGGATAGGACTCCTTCTTCTGCTTGACAGCCTCCCTAACCCAGGGTGTCCACCACCGGGTTCCAGGGTGGCCACTGCGAGAAGCACCTACAACTTTGTGGCCACAGCTCAAGGCAGCTATCTCAACAATTGAGGTGTGGAACATGGCCCACTCAGACACAATGTCCCACACCTCAGCTGGGATGCGATTAAAACTCTCTTTGAGGTGTGAGTTTAAGTTTTTTCAGACTAAACAACAAAGCCCATGCTCAATAATCCAGGTATACAATCCAACATTTTTCAGTCAGCTCATCTGGATGGTTTCTTTTTTTGTGCTGAAACGTTTCGCCTTCAGTCCGGAAGGCTTCATCAGACAGAACATATCACAGGCAGAACTGGTTTGTTCCACTTTGGAGTAAGCTGTTGGGGGAAGAATCAGTTTTGTTGTGTGTTTTTTTCAGACTAGTTTTTCTGCCAAGCATTCCCAGCAAACCCTCACTACATGTTTGGGTCTACCGGCTCTGTCCGGCATCTTTCCCCTCCATTTGATACAACTCACTACAGGGGTGGTGATCAATTGACAGTTCAACACCTCTCTTCACCCAAGTATCCAAAACCAACAGCCACAAATCAGATGACATGACTGCAAAGTCCATCATGGCTCTACGATCTAGGGTGTCCTGGTGCCAAGTGAACTTATGGACATCCTTATGTTCTAACATGACGTTTGTGATGGACAAGTTGTGACTAGCACAGAAGTCCAACAAAAGAAGACTGCTCGAGTTCAGAGGCTGTTTCTCCCAATCTTGCCCCTCCAGGTCACACTGTTCAATTCAATTCAATTAAGTTTATTTATGTAACGCCAAATCACAACAAAGTTGTGTCAGGGCATTTTACAGGAACATTCACATACATAAAAGCCAATTAATAAAGTTCTCTATCTAAGGAATCCAGCAGACAAGTTGAATCTTGGCTTCGTTGCAGTCTCCCATCCTAAGCAAGCACAGTGGCAACAGTTAAAAGGAAGAAACCTCCAGCAGAACCAGGCTCAGGACAAGCGGCCATCTGCTTTGACCGGCTGTTATTAACCCCGAAGGCATTGAAGTCCCCCAGCAGAATAAAGGAGTCCCAAGCTGCCTCACCTTCCAGCACTCCCGCCAAGGACTTCAAGAAGGCCAGATACTCTGGCCTGCATTTGGCACATATGCACAAACAACAGTCAGAGCCTGCCCCCCCCCCCCCCCCCCCCAAACTCGCAGGGAAACCACCCTCTCATCCACAGGGGAAAACTCCAACACACAGGCACCAAGTCGGGGGGCTAAAAGTAGATCCACACCATCTCGACGCCTCTCTCCATGGGCAACTCCAGAGGCAATAAGGTCCAGCCCCTCTCAAGGTAATTGGTTCCATAGCCCATGCTGTGCGTCGAGGTGAGCCCAACTATATCTAGTCAGTACATCTCAACCTCACGCACAAGCTCAGACTCTTTCCCCCCAAAGAGGTCACATTCCATGTCCCAAGAGCCAGATTTGTTAAGCCAGGGTCAGAGTGCCAAGGCCCCGCTTTCGACCACTGCCCTTGGCATCATGCACCTGACTTTTATGGCCCTTCCTGCAGGTGGTGGTCCCACAGGAAGGCAACCCCATGTTGGTCCTTCAGGCTGAGCCCGACTGGGCTCCATGGGTAGAGACCCGGTCACCAGGCGCCCCTCGACAAGCCCCTCCCCAGGCCTGGCTCCAGGGTGGGGCCCCGGTAACCCTCGTCCAAGCAAGGGACACTGAGCTCCTTGTTCTTTCCTGTCCATATAAGTCTTCTGAATTGCTCTTTGTCTGGCCTGTCACCTAGGACCAATCTGCCTTGGGAGACCCTACCAGGGATAATTACAATTGCTCCAGACAGCATAGCTCTGAGGATCATTCAGGCGCACAAACTCCTCCACCACAATAAGGTGGCGATTTAAGGAGGAGTAAACTTTATTTATTTGAATTTTATTTTATTTTTTAAATTTTATTTTAACATATTAGTCACATGAGAAACAAACCTCTGTGGTTTCATGGTGCTACAGACTTAAAATTAGAGAAAAAAAATGCAAACATTACTACTTCTGCCAAAATTATATCAAATATAGCTCAACAATTATTTTATTTTAGATGTTATGTTATAGTAATATAAATATTTTAAGGTCTAAAAACGTAAACTGAGAGAACACATTTGAACGTGTTGACAGTCATTGTTTAAATTCATTGTCAGCTTTTTCCTGATTTTAAACCAATTTTTGATCAGCTTTTTCATTTATAATGTCTTTTATTTACAATATTTCAGATGAAGGTTACATTTTAAGTTACATTTTAAACTAACCTGCCAGTAATATGAATATTTTTAGATTATTATTAGATTTTTACTTTAACAAACGACAACAACAAACAAAGAATAAGAGAGAGACGGGTGTTAGACAGTTAAATCCAGCAACAAGTCTGGTCACGGAGAGGCTGAAAACAAACCATGCACATGTGGCTGAGTGGTTAGAGCAGTTGTCCTCCAATACAAGAGTTGGGGGTTCGAATCCACCAGCAGTCACATGTCAAAGTGTCCCTGGGCAAGACACGGAACCCCTCATTGCCTCCGATGTGTGTCCCATCGATGTATGAATGTGATCTCAAAGCACTGATTAGTCTCTTTGGAATGATTTGCTCAATTAGCTTTGTAGAGTTCTAGTAAAGTGCTGTATGAATGGGTAAATGAGGGCACAGATTGTAGTGTAAAGCGCTTTGAGTATCTGGATAAGATAGAAAGGTGCTATATAAATGCAGACCATTTACATGCCACTTTGACCTAGTATTAAGGTATTTAAATCATAGGAACATAATGAGGGAAATCTTTACTGGTGGTAAACACCGTGGTGTATATTGAAACCACTTATGGACCCATACCTACTATGAATACCTGTTTTTCAGTCACAAACCAAAATGTAAGAAATTAAAGTTACGCTTACTGAGAAAAGTTGTTGTGTTCACAGGAAGGAGGATGCCGGCATGCTGGTTTATAAAGACCATTTACCAGTCAGGGAGGTAGTGGTTGGTGATACGAGCAGAACTGGATCTGAGGCCAAACTGACTGTTGGGCCTCTGAAGTGTCGGGGGGACCGTGAGTGCTCCTCTCTCTGTGTCTCTGTCACATACGGACATGATGCCTGGAGATAATCCTGGCTTTATGTTTTCTGAAGGGGACTACTGGAACGCAGCCTCGTTCAGCAGCCCGGCCTCTTCCCTCCACTTCCAGTCCATTTCAGGACCGACCAGTACTGATGTCTCCTTCTACTTCAAGACGTCCTCGTCTCATGGAGTCTTTGTAGAGAGCCTGGGAGCAAGCAGCTTCCTTCACATCGAACTCAAAGGTTTGTAATATTGACTTTAATTTCAGGGTTTTTCAGGTCTAGATGAGTTCAGTAAAATCCCGAGTATTTCCAGACTCTTACAAATCTCATTAAAAACATTTCTGAAAATTGCACTAATAAACAGGGCATTATTAATGATAATAATAATAATGTGTGTTGCATTCTATTTAAACGATGAATAACTGTTTTTACGTTAGCCTTTACTAAAAAAAAAATTTGAGGAGAAACCTCTTCCCACATTTAATAATTGTATTTACGTATGCAGATAAACTAGCAAGAAACATGATTAACTTTTTTCATTCATTCAACCTTTATTTATACAGGTTAGTCTCACTGAGCCACGGGGACTCATTTACAAGAGAGACCTGTTTTAAACAAAGAACAAGAACAAGCTCAATAATATTCTTAAAGAACTAAGAACAATGAAATAATAACTTACTGTTATTTTGAATGGAAGAAATTATTCAAATGTCAACATACAAATTAATGATAAGGTCTGGAATTTCAAAATGGAAAATTTGGTAACAGTGGTGTTCACATACTTTTAACAGTTTTAACAAAACAATCAGCCTTTGTGCCTGCTCCTGTTTTTGTTTAGTAATATAAACTAGGCTGCTGCTTAATATACTGTATTATTTTACATTATTAGTGTTTAGTGTATATCTTAGACTCTTGTATACTGTTTCTTTTTATACTTTATATATGTTTTTGCTATTTTTGGGTATAACTGCGACCTTGGGTAAACAAATTCGTTGTACCAAATTGTACCACATGTACATGTACATGCACATGTAACACATGTAATGCGAATGACAATAAAGAACCTTGAACCTTGAAATTAATGTAATTTTCTGCTCTTAATAAACGAGCTGATATAATTTTAAAACTTTATATAATTCAATTCATTTTATTTCTGCAGCTCCAAGTCACAACAGAAGTCATTTCAGGGTACTGTAAAGAAACATTCACATGCATTGTAAAAGCCAATTAGTACAATCCAACATTTTTCAGTCAGGTCATCTGGACAGTTTCTTTTTTTTGTGCTGAAACGTTTTGCCTTCAGTCCGGAAGGCTTCATCAGTCAAGGAGACACACAACAAAACTGATTCTTCCCGCAACAGCTTACTCCATAGTGGAACAAACCAGTTCTGCTTGTGATGAGATGGTCTCTTTCTTCCCTGAAAGAGATGACGTCTAGGTGGGAGCATATGTTGTTCTAGAACCTGAACATAGTTCTCTGCATTAATGGTGCCTTTCCAGACATGCAAGCTGCCCATGCCACAAGCGCTCATGCAACCCCATACCATCAGTGATGCAGGCTTCTGAACGGATCGTTGATAACAACTTGGGCTATCCTTGTCCTCTCTGGTCCGGATGACATGGCGTCCCAGTGTTCCATAAAGAACTTCAAATCGTGACTCATCTGACCACAGAACAGTCTTCCATTTTGCTACACTCCATTTTAAATGACCCCTGGCCCAAATGTCAAATGTTAAATAGCAATATGAATATGTCTATAATTCAATTCAATTCAGTTTATTTATATAGCGCCAAATCACAACAAAGTTGTCTCAGGGCACTTTACAGGAACATTCACATACATAAACGCACATTAGTAAAGTTCTCTATCTAAGGATGCCAGCAGACATGTTGAATCTTGGCTTTGTTGCAGTCTCCCATCCTGAGCAAGCACAGTGGCAACAGTGGAAAGGAAAAACTCCCTTTTAAAAGGAAGAAACCTCCAGCAGAACCAGGCTCAGGACAAGCGGCCATCTGCTTTGACCGGCTGGTTTGAGAGGACAGGAAGGAGAGACAGGCGAACACAGAATGGTAGGTCCAGGTATAGGTCCAGGTGTATCTGAAAGACAAATAAAAACACGTTAATGATAGAAAAAATAATTACAAATACAAAACAGGTTGAGCAGAGTAAGCAAAGACAGTAGCAGAGTGAAAAGTGTATTCAGTTTGTCCTCCAGCAGTCTAAGCCTATAGCAGCATAACTAAGGGACAGCTCAGGAAACCCTAGCCAACCCTAACTATAGGATTTAGCAAAAAGGAAAGTCTTAAGCCTAGTTTTAAAACTGGATAAAGTGTCAGCCTCACGGACAGAGATTGGAAGTTGGTTCCACAAGAGAGGAGCCTGATAACTGAAGGATTTGCTTCCCATTCTGATTTGTAAATTCTAGGAACCACAAGTAAACCTGCAGCCTGAGAGCGAAGTGCTCTATTAGGAAAATATGGAACAATAAGATCTGTAATATAAGATGGAGCCAAGTTTTTGAGAGCTTTGTAGGTTAGAAGTAAGATTTTGAATTCTTTTCTGGATTTGACAGGGGGACAATGGAGAGAAACTAAAACTGGAGAAATATGATCTCTCCTACTAACTCCAGTTAAGACTCTGGCAGCAGCATTTTGGATCAACTGCAGACGTTTTAAAGATGTATTTGGACATCTAGATAATAAACCATTGCAATAGTCCAGTCTAGACATGACAAATGCATGGACCAGTTTTTTTTGCATCATTTTTAGATAAGATGTTTCTAATTTTAGCGATATTACCCAGTTGGAAGAAGGCAGTTCTAGTAACGTTTTTTTTATGTGGGGGATAAAAGACATGTCCTGATAAAAAAAAAAACACCAAAATTTTTAACATTAGAGCTGGAGGACAGATTAATGCCATCTAAGGAGGGAGAAAGACTTAAAAATTTATTCCTAAGGTGCTCAGGTCCAAAAACCAAACCTCAGTCTTGTCTGTGTTTAACAGGAGAAAATTTAGGGTCATCCAGGTTTTTACGTCTTTAAGACATGCTTATTATGTAGTATAAGTAGCTGATTGGATTCATTGGGTTTAATGGACAAATATAATTGTGTGTCATCAGCATAACAATGAAAATTTATCCCATGCTGTTTAATAATTTTACTTAATGGAAGCATATATAAAGTATTGGCACAAGCACTGAGCCCTGAGGAACTCCATGACCAACTTTGGTGTTTGAAGAAGATTTATTATTTACATTTACAAACTGGAATCTATCAGATTGATATGATTTAAATAGAGCTGTTCCTGTAATCCCAATATCATATTCAAGCTTCTGTTGTCATGAACCAGAGGCCGGATCGCAAACAACAACAACAACAACCACTGAGAGGGTTAAAAGATTTATTGTGAAATAAAGTAAAACTCTGGAGTAGGTCCGGTTCTGGGCTGGTTCCGATCTTCTGATTGGTAGTTCGTGATTGGGTAGTGTTGTAGTGGCGGGCTGCCAGTAGAAGTAGAACTGATGTTAAGGTCCACTGGAACGGAGTCCAACAGGCTTGCAACTAAAAGATAAAGGTTAGTAGATGCAGGGGGAAAGAGACTAATTGGGGAAATGAATCTGTGGGAATCAGATTCAGGGGTAAGGATAAGTCCGTGTTACAGAATGAGCTTGACCTTTAATCCGTGATCCAAAAAACAGTCAGAAGGGAAAGGCAGAGATCATACCGTGAAGTCAGTTGTTCAGCAGAAGTATCCAGTACGTGATCCAAAAAGAGAGTCAAAAAACAAGAGCATGAGTCGGTACCTGATCAGATGAGCAAAAGCAGACGAGGGCTGAGGCAAAAGCGTGGTCGTGGTCAAGGCAAGGGTCATGAACGTGATGAGTCAATCAATGGAATGCTGGAAAGTCTACTGCTGATGAGACAGGATAGAGAATCTGGCCCAGACTGAGAGGAATGAGTGAGCTTAAGTACTGACTGGACCAGGTGGTGGAGCTGTGGGATAATGAGCGGTGACAGGTGACATGAGTTGAGTGATTACTGAGTGTGCAGCATGACAGAGGAGCTGACAGAGAGCAGAGCTATGACAGAACCCCCCCCCCCTCAAGGTCCGGCTCCTGAAGGACCACCAGGCTGGAGAGGGTTCAGTCGATGAAAGTCTCTAATGAGGGTTTTGTCCAGAATATTGCGTGAGGGCACCCAGGAACGTTCCTCCAGGCCGTACCCCTGCCAGTCTACCAGATACTGGAGTCCTCTCCCCCACCTTCTGGATCGAAGAAGGCGTCGGACCGTGTAGGCTGGGCTCCCCTGAACGAGTCAGGCGGGTGGTGGGAGGTCGGTGGTGGGTCGAAAACGTGGCAGGACAAATGGCTTGAGTCTTGACATGAAACGTTGGATGAATGCGCATGGACCTGGGTAACTGTAAGCGAACAGAGACAGGATTGATTATTTTGGTAATCAGAAAAGGACCAATGAAACGTGGTGCTAGTTTCTTAGATTCCACACGGAGAGGAAGGTCCTTGGTGGAGAGCCACGCTTTCTGGCCCACCTTGTACAATGGTTGAGGCGTTCTCCTGCGGTTAGCCCCCCGAACGTACCTTTTGGTGGCCAAAATTAGGGCTCTCCTGGCTTTTCTCCAGACTCGCTGGCAACGTAAAATTGCGGGTCGTGCAGAGGGAACCCGAGCTTCTCTCCCCTGGACTGAAAAAACAGGGGGTTGGAATCCATAGACAACATGAAAGGGTGAAATACCTGATGTAGAGGATGGAAGAGAGTTGATTGCTTGTTCAATCCAAGGGAGGTTGGACGTCCATTTCCTCGGGTCCCCCTCGCAGAGGAGCCGAAGCTTGGTCTCCACCTCCTGGTTGGTACGCTCAGATTGTCCATCCGTTTGGGGATGAAAACCTGACGAGAGGCTGACCGAGATCCCTAGCAGGTTGCAAAACTCCCTCCAGAACTTGGAAATGAATTGGGGACCTCGGTCAGACACAATGTTCTGGGGGAGCCCATGGAGCCTGAAAACCTCCTTGGCCATGATAACGCTGAGCTCCTTGGAAGAAGGTAACTTGGGGAGAGGAACCAGGTGGACCATTTTAGAAAAACGGTCCACAATGGTCAATAACACTGAATTACCTTCAGAAGGGGGTAATCCAGTCACAAAGTCCATAGCAATATGTGACCATGGGCGTGAAGGAATTGGCAGGGGTCGTAGCAGCCCGGCAGGTGGGCGATTGGAAGACTTG